AGAAGGAAAACAGCTCAAAACCGAGAACAGCAAGCAGCCCAAGGCCCTAAAACCGAGAGCAGCAAGCAGCTCCAAACCAAGAATAGCAAACAACCCCAATCCGAGAATAGCAAAGGCTCCAAACAGAGAACAGCAAGCAGCCCAAGGCCAAGAAGAATTTCAAGATGATTTGACCCCCCCATTGCCTACATCAATTAGTGGTATGGTGGCTATTTGGCTCCCCTTTCTTTACCTATATATAGTTGATATTTGTGGCTGTTTTAGAGTTTTTAGAAAAATGTTATGATGTAATTTTTGGGAGCCTAAACCTGCGGGTTTCATCGTGGAAAAGCTCCAGAGCTTGTTCCATTCCTCTCTTCTTCTAGGAAAGCTTGCGAGCTTCTCCTCCTTCTCGGCCTCTTACCTACTTCTATCCGCAAGTGACCACCCCACTTGTATCCTTCTTCTCAACATTTGGCAAGCAGTTTTAGGAAAGTCACTGTGTCTTTATTTTGTCGTTTGTAAGCGTCAAAAGTTTTTAAGTCTTTAATATTATAAAGTGAAGTTGTTTTTTGGTTCAATTGTCGTATTTTGTGTGCAACTTCTATTTCCTAGGAAGCTTTTTATTTTGCTCGCAAAAATTTGGGGTCCTTCCCAAATTTTTGCATGCATCAAATTTGGTATCAGAGCTTAAGTTTGTGTCTTCCTAGGTTTGTCTTCTTAAGTCTTGTGTCTTTTTTAAGCAAGATGGATAAACATCAAGTGGAAAGTAAGCAAGAAAGTAAGCCAAAAGATTTTGAAGAATTTATTCCTAAAAGCCAATGGACCTCGCCACAAGAAAGTTCTTCTAACCCGATACAGATCAAACTACTCAGGATTCAAGAACAACTGCAATTATGTGACAAGAGATTCAATTTCAAGAAGTGTTCACTTCTAGTAGAATTTGAACGGGAAATGGAAGCCATCAAACGAAAGTATGATATTCTAATCCAAGAATCTGAAATGCAGGATCTCTAAAATTTTGAAGCTTCCTCATAAGAAGATGAGCTTTTTTAAGTGGGGGAGAATTTGATGTAGGCAAGGGGGGGGGGGGGGGGGGGGGGGGGGGGGGGGGGGGGGGGGGGTCAAAACATTTTGTATTGTAAAATTGGTGAGCTACTAGTTCTATACTTAAATATAGCTCATTAATGCTCATTTATTAGGTTCTTGATGCGGGCAAAAATTCAGGGGTTGGGGCAAAATTTCTATTATATTTCATATATAACTGTTAGGTATGCAAAATAAAACATACATGTTTCTTTGTCTTTCTTCTACATAATTTACTTCTCAATATATTTCATTTGTCCATTTTCATTACATATTTATTTTATTTTCATTTTCATTAGTATAGGAGCACTGTATAAATGTACCTAAAAAGGTAAAACCATTTTCATTTTTTTTCCATTTCCATTTTAACGTGCACAAGTACATTGCTTTCCTAGCCAGCATCATATGGGGATGAACTCCTATAATTTATATGCATATACTTTTTCCATCTTTTAATGCTTCCATATCAGTTAAATTATAATTAAATATTTCATTTCTATTACATTTATTAGTAATGTATTTAAAGTACATTTCTATTACATCATAAATTTTAATAATTCAGTCAATCTCAAGTTGATTATACATTGAACATTTAAATATTTTATTCATTTAACAATAATTCCATAAAATGATAATTCTCAATTCCAATTTTTTTAATTCTCTCCATTAATCTAATTCATGTAAGACATAATGATTGCAATATTTAAAAGAAATTATAACATGAAAGAAATTTAATGGAATAAAACACTTAATTTATAACTGCCCACTTTGTTTTTTTCAAATTCTAGATCCGTGGAAATAACCTTATGCAATGCAATTTAAAGACAAACACAATCACATAAATTATTATGATCTATAACTTTTATTAATGTTACATACATATTTTCTTAATGAAGTCTTTCCTCAAAATCTCTTTTTGAAGATCCTTTATTGACTTCAACAGTTCGACTTAATACCTTAGATTAATCAAATCCTCTACTGTTCCAATTATATTAATTCCCTTTAAGTATCATTAATTAACTTTGATGGAATTCTCAAAGCTCAAAGTAATAGTAATAATTGTCAAATTCAAACTTGTATCTTTTACCTCAATTATTCAAATCTTTTCTATCTTCTCTTTGAAATGAAGATTTCATCCACTAGATTTCTTCACACATGAACATTCTTTGAACTAAAATTAGATACTATTATTTCTACATCAAAATAATTTTTATGTAATTATTTTCCTAAATTTGAAAAATAAAAAGAATAAGATATTTGAAATCACTTACAAAAGAAATCTTCCCAACATCATTTCTTCCTTTCTTCATAACAAATTTCTTCCTTTGCCTTCACACTAAATATAGACTTACCTTTAGGTTTCATTCATACAGGAGATTTCCAAATAATATAATTAAAATACATAAACTTACCTTCTTTTTCCACTTTCTTCTTCCTCTCTGTTGTTTCCTCTTGATTGAAATTTTCTCTTACATTTTCTTCCCCAGGAATGAGTGAAATATAGACATTACTCACGAGGAGTCATTAATTTCTCATCCACTAGATTTCTTCACACATGAACATTCTTCGAACTAAAATTAGATACTATTATTTCTACATCAAAATAATTTCTATGTAATTATTTTCCTAAATTTGAAAAAGAAAAAGAATAAGATATTTGAAATCACTTACAAAAGAAATCTTCCCAACATCATTTCTTCCTTTCTTCATCAAAAATTTCTTCCTTTGCCTTTAGACTAAATATAAACTTACCTTTAGGTTTCATTCATACAGGAGATTTCCAAATAATATAATTAAAATACATAAACTTACCTTCTTTTTCCACATTCTTCTTCCTCTCTGTTGTTTCCTCTTGATTGAAATTTTCTCTTACATTTTCTTTCACAGGAACGAGTGAAATATAGATATTACTCACGAGGAGTCATTAATTTTTCCTAACGAGGAGTCATTAATTTCTCCTACGTATGTGATCCTTCGCTAAAACTACAAATTGGCTTGTCTGGATCATGCACGCACGCGGGCGGGTTCTCTGGATTGCAACTCTGTTCGGTTCTGCATGTTATTCGCTTGTTGTATTAAGCATTCAAATGGTTTGCTGAACCGGTTATTGCATCAACTACTAGAGAGTCGAAGCTTCAGAGATGGTTTCTTTTGTTCGGTACCATAATCTTAGTGAATCAATGTTAGGGGTGTAAAAATGGATTAGTTTCTGGTCGGGTTGAAGTCCGACCTGAAATTGACTTAACCCGAATCCAGTCAACCCGAATACGATCTATTTAATTGATAAAAATAACAATGTTACACTAACAAATAAAAGAATTTAATGGAACAAATATTAAATGAGTTATTTTCGGGTCAAAATCAGGTTGGTGGATCAACCCAAACCCGAATCGTTAATAAACAGGTTGGAATGCACAACCCGAACTGACCTATTTATTAAGCGGGTCAACCCTAACCCTGCTTTTTTCGGTAGGTTCTGGTCGGGCCATTTATTGATAAATGTGGTTAAATAAGAGTTACAGGTTTGTTCTTTAAGGGAGATAACAAGCACATTGCTATTGTAGGCTGAGTTTTTGAAATTGCAGTGAACATTTATTCATCACAAAACATGGCAGAGCGTCATCTCAGATTCCATGATATCTTGCTATTCTTCTTATATATACATGTTTTCTCATTCGCTAACTCACGTGTGACAAGAAAGCTAGTCAATTTGGATAGTTTTCCTTATGAGGTATGATTCTTTTTACATGCGATCACCCCTGTTTTCATTCCTCCGAAACATGCCTTGAGAATTAGAGGATTTGTAGCTGAAGCCATCTTTCCTGAGAATGATTTATTGATGATTGTGGGGAGGAAAGGCTGCTGTTAGCTTTTTCCTTGTCAGTCGGTAATAATTAAAAAAAAAAAAACTCAATAAAAGTTATTGTCCTCAATTTCATGTAGAAACTCCAATGATTATGGAATGAAGGGTTCACTATGAGGATTTATTTAATTTTCAGTTAATTAAAATTAGCATCTTATAATTATTGTTTCCCATATTTTTTAGCATCATTTTATGCCATGGAGGAACTGTTTGTCATAAAATCAAACATGTATGGTTTATATACTTAAACAAGTTTGGGAGCTACACTAGCTTGTTTCCTATGGAACATCTTTTAAGGGTTATTTAGTTGGATGTTTTTAAAATACATATATTTTATAAATGTAGTGTAATTTGAATACACAAATTTTAGAAATATGAGTTAGTTGAATGCAAATCAAATGCATGATTTTTTTTTTTATTATGATGCATTTCAAGTGCATGCATTTTAGAAATATGACGTGCAATGCCGGCAGGTGGCTATGGAAGGCGGTTGGTGGCGGCCAGTATTGCTGGCCGGTGGCGACAACGGTGGCAATGGTGGTGGTGGGAAAGTGTTGATGAGAAAGTGGGCTACAGTGGTGGTAGAGCTTGTGGCAATGTTGAGCAGTGGAGGCTAGTAACTAAGGTAGCTGATGGTGGTGACGAGCATTAGAAACTAGTGAGTGCTAGTAGTGGCAAAGGTCGACAGGATGTGGTGACCGTCGGTGGTAGCTGTGGTTGCAGATTGGATTGGTGATGCAATGTATTTGGATATCATTCAAATTATGCGATTTTGGAATACACAAAAATTGAACGAATGGTTTAGTCAAAATTTATTTTCATCAAATCAAATATCTAAATTTCCTAAACTTCTGCAGTTAGAATGCACTACAATCAAAACTTCTCCAACCAAACGGCCCCTTTGTCATTTGGCAGCTTCTTAAAATTTAGCTTGTCATACTTTCCCATCTTATGGGAATTAGCCTCATTAGTGTAATATATTGTTTCTGTAAAGTTTCGATTGAATATTGTTAAGCTTCTGATATAGTCAATTCTATATTTTTTGACTTACGATCATCAAAGCATTTAACAGAAAAATCGGAGCAATTGGACTGGGATGTCCGCCTTAATATCATATTAGGGGCTGCAAAAGGTCTTGCATACCTGCATCATGATTGTTCACCGCGAATCATACATCGTGACATTAAGTCAAGCAACATATTACTTGATGGGAATCTGGAGGCTCGTGTATCAGACTTTGGACTTGCAAAACTATTGGAAGATGAAGAGTCTCATATCACAACAATAGTTGCCGGAACTTTTGGTTATCTAGCTCCAGGTGACTTGCAGAACTGATAGTGTCGCTTTTTATTTATTTATTTATTTATTTTTTTTACGCAACATATCAGGCTTTTTTAATGCAATTCTAAATTCCTTTATTTGCATTGTAACTTTATTTGACCTTTCATTAATGCCTGCAAAACCATATTACTTTTTTTTAGAACTGAATTGGTTTTATTTTGTTATTCATGCATCCTTCTCTTTTGTTTGATACTGGCCTTTGATAATTTGTATTTGGTAATGGTGATGTTTGCTTCTTGTGGTATTTCTGGAAGAATCTTTAACAATTTTCTGTTGTAGGTATCTTGTTTAGAAAAATTAATGGTAACTATGAAAAATAGTATAGAAATCTGCTAGCATTTAGGCTTTCTTTTCCTTATTGGCGAGATATGGAGCAGCAAGTTTCATGAATAAGGAGACTAAAGCTGTAATACCCGAAACGATGATCGTATGTTGTCGCACACTTTTCGATGTGTCGCGATGAGACTTAAGTGAAATTTTCGAAGTTAATATTACCCCTATTTTGTTTCTTATGTCAAATTCACTTAAGTAAGGGCAAGAGGATCATTTACAAAACCTAATTTCTCTAAAATGGCAAAACCGAAACCCCCCTCTCATTTCATTTGGCCAAACCGAGAGAGGGAGCGGACAAAGGGCGGACGGACTGCAGGTTAGGGCTCGACGAAGGCTTCTCCGGCGGCATTTTTCCGGTGAGAAAATTAGTTCAAATCGAAGAGGACGACGAGTGGAGTCTTAAGGTATGATTGTTTTGAAGCAAATCCTTCTCGATCTCAAGATTTTTGGAGACGAAGTTTCTAGGACTTTTCTAAATTCTTGATTTCTTTCAAAATTTCTTTACGAAAGCTCTAAGGAAGGATTAAAAGAATGATTTAACGATGAAAACAAAATTTTTGGAGAAATTTTTGGAGGATGAAATTTTAGGGTTATTTCCCGAAACCTAATTTCTATTAAGTGCTTTTACAAAAATTGTTTCTAAGGACCTTAGGAATGAATTTAAAACAAAAAATTTGATTTTGAATGAAAATCTCATTTTTTGTAAATTCCTAATTTATTTATTCCGAAAATAACTTAAGTTATTATTAAAATACATTTAGGAATAATTTTGACTTATTAAATTCATGAAATTGAAGAGTTATGATTTTTCTGAAAATTTAGGATTTAATTAAATCCGAAAATTAAGATTAATTTATTTAAAATTCATTAAGTGTCATAAGAAATAGTTAATGGGGGAAAACGATGGGTTTAAGCTTAGGACTTAGATTCAGCATTAATGAAGATTGAATTATGTGACACGTCTCTTTTATAAATTTTCATAGGTTGTGATCGTTAAGGTGAAAGTGCTGTGTCGAATCGACACTTTGAGGAAATACCGTGCTTAAGAGATGTAGGTACTTGTATTTAAATTAAATTCGTGTCTCTAAATTCTCAAATTTTTTTTATGTTAAATAAAACATGTTTAGTTTATAAATGTTCTATTTCATACAATTATCACATGTTTGAGTTTTTTTTATGTTATTACACAAGAAGAATTTTATATTTGCTTATTTTTCTTCTAACTGAAATTTTTAGACAGACATGAGAACAATTATGCATTAAACGAATTAAACGAATACATATGAAATTCTGAATAACTTAAGCCCTATGAGATCTATTATGATTGCATGTGCATGTTGATCCGGAAGTGCCAAAATGGTAATGGGGTTCTACGGAGCCAAATGGTAAAGGGCTTGTAAAAGCCAAATGGTAATGGGGTTCTTCAGAGCCAAATTTTTAAGGAAATGACCAAAAGACTGTGTACCTGATCAGTACAAACACTATTACTTTCGGGACGGATGTATAATTTATGATTAAGTATTTTATGTATACAAATAAAATGCTATGATGAAAAGAAAAGATGATGAAAGGAAAAGTTTATTAAGAATAAAAATGTTTAAGGGAATATTTAAAAAACTCTTGTATGAATAGGTTATCCAATTTATGTATGTAAATATTTGATTTTTAGTTTCTCAAGTATTATGAATGAAAATTTCATGATAAATATTTTGTTTTTATTTAAGTCATGAATTTTAGATAAATACATGTTACTTGCTGAGCGTTGGCTCATCCTATATTTGAAAATATTTTTCAGAAAAAATTATTAAGAAGTGATGGCTACAAGACTGCAGTATACCTACCATCGTTGAGGACCTTGAGAAGATGAAAAGTTTTTATATTTTCTGTTGAGTTTTTTATCTGTATCTGTTTAGTTAATGGGAGTTTATGTTATTATTGATGATTTAAGTTTTTAGTAGTTGTGTGAGAAGAAATAAATTTGGACAATTATGATATTGATATTTTCTTAGTGGCTCTTTCTTATTTTAGGTGTTGAGGATATTCAAATTATGTTATATAAGTTTATATGAAATGATTATGTTTATGTTATGATATTTTTCCCGTACGACTGTCTGCTTCTGTCCCGTTAATCCGGGCTAGTCGAGTCGGGTCGTGACAAGAGTAGTATCAGAGCAAAGGTTTAATAATGATCAATGAAAGAGCCTATAGGATGATTGAATGAGTCTTAGAATATATAGGAAGTATACATTTTATGAATTATTTCGCCTTATGATTGATATGTTTTATCTCAAGAATATGGATCCTGAGCAGAATGCCACATATGGCATTGATGTGGAGATAGGGAGGGAGCTACCAGAAATAGCAGAACCTCAGAGAAATAGTGATAACAACACTATGGAGTCATTTGCTCAGATGATGGAAGCAATAACTCAGATAATATATACCTCCCAAACTCAGAGCAGTGGAAGTGGAAATGGAAGTCGCTCTATGGATAAGAACCTAAAACTATTTCAAGATATGAAGCCTCAGTTATTTTCAAGTTTTGGACCTATAAATGCTGAGGACTGGCTGATGCGGATAGAGAAGATACTGGAGGGCATGTCTTGTCCAGAGGATAGGAGAGTGACACTGTCTGCTTATGCTTTTGATGACGAGACTAAAAGGTAGAGTCAGTTACAAGAGACCTTTGGAGGAAAGATCAATTAGCCAAGTCTCCTGGGAGGAGTTTGTGAAAGTATTTAGAGGCTAGTATGTGTCTATGTCTGTCAGGAGACAGATGCATGACAAGTTCAACAGATTGGTTCAGGGGAATCGATCTGTTTCTCAGTATGAGGCAGAGTTTACAATGTTGTCCAGGTATGCCCCTCAACTGATACCAAATGCTAAACAGAAATGTCATCTCTTTCTGAATGGATTAAAGGACATGATAAAGAAACCACCCATTCCTTTTGGAATAGAAGATTGCTCTGTCTTGATGGAAAGAGCCAGAAGGATTGAGATGGACATGCAGGCAACTCAGAAGAGGAGGGATTTTTAGAAAAGGAAGATGGAGGGCAAGTCAAAGCCCTCCTAGGTTGCTCAGTCTTCTCAATCTGGGGTGTCTACTTAGAAGAAGCCCAAATCCAGCAACTCTGATAGCAGTGCTTCAATTGCTACATTATGCAGTAAGTATGGGAGAATGCATAAGGGAGACTGCCTCTCAGGCACTAATACTTATTATTGGTGTCATCATCCTGGACATATGACGAAGTCTTGCCCTCTTTTGAGAAAGTGATCTGTTACAGAGGTCAGGTCAGGCAACAATACTCAGAGGACAGCTGGTAGACCAAGAGCTATGGAGTCTACAGCTTTTGTGCCTTCTCAAGGTCAGACTCGTCAGAATGTTCAGCCTCGAGTCTATGGATTGTCCCAGAAAGAAGCTAAAGGGTCTCCTGATGTGGTTACATGTGCGTAATTTAATTAATTGCAATGAATAATTTTTTTTATATGATATGAATGAACAATGAATGGATATGAAATGAACGAATAATGAATGGCATGTTTTATAATTGAATATTGTAACTTGCTTATGATTAGGGACAATCCTTATGTGTGATAAACCTGTTAGAATTCTTTTTGATACTGGAGCGTCACACTCCTTTTTTTTAGAAGAGTTTGTTAGATCTACAAGTTTGCTTCCTATAGTTATGATTAAGTCTTTATCAGTTTTAATGCCTAATGGAAATCATATGGAAGCTAGGCAGAAATGTCAAATGTATTTGAGGATTTGTGATAAGAGCTTAGAGGCGGAACTGATTGTATTACCTCTATCTGAGTTTGACGCAATCTTAGGCATGGATTGGTTATCTTGCCATTTTGTGACTATAGATTGTAGCAAAAAGGAGGTTAAGTTTTGTATGCCATGAGAGGAGAAATTCAAATTTCAAGGAGATAGAGGGGTAACTGCTGTGATTGTGTCATCCCTGAAGGCTTTTAAGATGTTAAAGAAAGGATATGAAGGCTTCTTGGCCTATGTTAAGGGAGAGAAGATGGAAGAAAGAGAGCTGAAACACATTCCAATCGTTTGGGAATTTCTAGAAATATTTTAAGATGATCTACCTGGCTTACCTCTAAGTGGAAAAATAAATTTCTCTATTGAGTTAGTGGCAGGAGCTGAACCTGTTGCTAAAGCTCCTTACAGAATGACAATTAAAGAACCTAAGGAGTTGAAAGAGCAACTACAAGAGTTGTTTGAGAAGGATTTCATCAGGCTTAGTACCTCCCCTTGGGGTGCTCCTATACTATTTGTGAAAAAGAAAGATGGAAGTCCAAGGCTCTGTATAGATTACAGAGAGCTGAATAAGTTGACAGTGAAGAATAAGTATCCTCTCCCAAGGATAGATAATTTGTTTGATCAGTTGGAAGGTGCTTCAGTGTTTTCTAAGATTGATTTGAGGTCAGGGTATCACAAGCTCAGGATTAAAGAGGAAGACATTGCAAAGATTGCTTTCAGTACTATATAAGGGCATTTTGAGTTTACAGTGATGCCTTTTAGTTTGACAAATTCCCCTGCAGTATTTATGGATCTCATGAATATAATCTTTAAGCTCTCTTTAGATCTATTTATGATAGTATTCATAGATTATATACTTGTTTACTCCCCTG